AAAAGGGACACATAGATATTTCATGTTGAAGGCAAATTTGATTTATATTCTAATGCACCTTAACCTTTTAATTTGTCAGTGTGAATGCAAATTCCAAAAGACGCCATCCCTAAAATGACCCATTTTTGTAAAAAAATGAATTAACATTATCTTAGGATAACACATTTATTTACTTGTCGATGTATTCGACCATATCTATCTTAAAACGTAATATAAACTGCAATCACTATATCACGGGTATGAATAAAAAAAGGTCTTACTTGTTGTGCTCCACCCTCGACTGGGAAACAATGCAGGTCTGTGGTAACTCTTATATTTCTATTTACGACACATGGGAAGTCCCTCGGGCACTGTTGTCTGCCAAATCGCAGATAACTATGCTGTTTGCCTCCGTGCTGAGCGAAGATGCAACTCACGATTCTCAACCAACATGCTGCCAAATGTCCCACAAGAGCCCCATTAAGACATCATGCATTGTCTCGGTTATATTTGAAATTTAGAAAACGTTAAAAAACATCACCATTTACGTCTTATAATACGTGTACTGCTTACCTAACCACATGACCTTTTAGTGGGCCTATTCAAGATATATATATATATATATATATATATATATATATATATATATTTAAATAGATGTATTTTGTGGTACAAAACTTATGAAAGTTTAAACAGAAGAACTTCATACTGGGCCTCCAACTAAGCAATTTTTTTTCTCAAATTTTTGTGTTAATTCTATTTATTAAACTCGATTTAGCTCTGTTGAGCGAGGTTTGAAACCGGTTAGCTAGCACGTTTTTCACCACCGGTTAGCTAGCACTTTTTATTTATTATGATCATGACTGGTAATAAAAATTTTGATTAATGGCAGTCATATATTCATATATATATATATATATATATATATATATATATATATATATATATATATATATATATATATATAGGTCTTGAAGATTGAGAGCTGCTTTTTAGAGCTGTCATGAAATTAAAAAATATTACCTATGGGATTTAAGTATTTGATATTCTTTAATTGATAATAATTTTGCTCTGTCTCTTGGCATAGATCTCGCCCTGAATCTATATCCTTCTGCAAATTCTTCTCTCTTTTTCTCTCTCTCTCTCTCTATATATATATATATATATATATATATATATATATATGAAATTAAATTTAAGGCTATATATATATATATATATATATATATATATATATATGAAATTTTTATTTAAAGAAAAACAAACCAAAATTTAAGGCTCCATTAGGTGGTAATTTATTTCATAAGACAATTTTATTTTCTCTGGATCTTCAGACTTCACTTTCAAAGGTGAAACGAAAATGAATTCAAAATTTACACTTTTGACGGGCAGTATTAAATTTATATATATTGACATACAGGGTGGTGAGGAATAGTGTGAGAGACATGGTCGAGTTAGAGAAAGGAAGGAGAGTTTTATATATATATATATATATATATATATATATATATATATATATATATATGATTATGATATATATATTCCTAAACCAGCGACATCTATTCATCATCTCTCAGTTTTGTCTCTGTCTTTGGGCAGTGTATGCTCAGAAGCGGCTCTGTCAAACAACAGAGTCCCAACTGAGGAAAATTATACCCTGCTCTGTGAAACAGCTACCCGAGTCCGCGCCCTCGCATTGCACCAGAGAGAATGATCGGTGCTCGCAACGAGGTCAGCACAATCGACGGGCTCTACGGGCAATTTTTGTTCCTAGCCTGGGTGTAAGCGCTCGTGCTACCCACATTAAACCGACCTCGTCTCACAACCTGACCTCGTGAGGGTGGGGTCGAGTAAATACAAACACTGGTATCCAGGCATTTAGTTGTGTCTCGAGGGAATTTCTTGTTCAGGTCCTTGTCTTCATGCAAGTTATGGTAGCTTGCGTGTTCGACGTGGGCTTCTTCAAGCGTACACTAGTCCACCAAACACAGGCTCAAATCGTAGCATCACGATGTTTGATGTCATAAGTTTCAAATATCGCTCACTTTTGGTGCATGTGAAAGAACTGTTGAACACAAGAATTTTTTGTTTCCAGAATATTAGCCTCTTGACCATATTATTTTTTTCTCACCCAAATTATCTTCACTGCCAACCTGATATCGAAGACTTAAAGAATTAACAGTCGCTACTTTCTCCGAATCTACACTGCCAACCTCTGATATTGAAGAGATTACGGACTTCACTGGATTTCATATTCAGAGACTACAGCAAACATGGTCAACAGATTTCAACCCAAGTTGGCAAAATTTCTGTAATAAGAAAGCGATGCGATGTTCCAGAAGAACAAGGCCCGCCCTCATGTCGCCCGTGCTTTTCAACATATGTTCGCTAAATTACTGATTTGTAGCCTCACCATATCTGTCCACTACTGGAGCTGAGGAAAAGTAGTGCAGGGCGATTTTGAAAAAGTGATATTGCGTTCATTTTGAAAGTTGTGGTTTGGCGTGGTTAATAAAGGCACATAACACTTTTCTGAAATTGTTTATGTATTAATAGATTAAGTTCAGGTTGAAAATCTTTAATTCAGGTGGTCATTGCAGGCTTTATCTCACGGATTTATAATATTTATAATTTACTGAAGATTTACAATTTTATATGGACAAGATGCAAAGCACAAGCTCATTTTTTACTAAATGATTGTCCTGTCGGAGTTAACTTCTCCTTTAGTTCGTTAACCCTTTCACCAGGGGTCTCTCTTCCCTGACTATAAATAGTCGCTGACCCTACGCCTCTTTCTTTTTTTTCCTCAGGCTTTTTGGGCCGACACCTGGAGGTAAATCTCTTTTTTTCCTCAGGCTTTCAGCCTTATTACCTCGAAGATGTGAACGCTCACCAGAGATAGCGTTTCCCAAATGCTGGGAACACGCTAAGAAGAATACACACACACACACACACACACACACACACACACACACACACACACACACACACAGTTATATAACATGCACACACACACACTTTGTCCTTTGTAACTGTTTCCATGTAACTTGTTATTAATATATATATTTGTATACATATATTATCGGTCTTGTGTTTCTTTTTCTTTGCCTTCTTCGTTCAACCTTTCTCATGTAGTTGGACCGGCTAGCAGGAGAATCTGAACCCACATGTGTTTCTTCTACGTCTACTCAACAACATCACAGCCACGGTCCACTACAGTCTCATCAAATAAGACCTTCATTCACTTCAAAGGGAATTTGTACTTAACAATTTAGCTATATTATGATGCATTACAGTAATGCTCGAGCGAATTTCAATAAACAATGTAAATTTAAACATATTGTGTCATATGATCAGCAGTATTATGGTGTTATATACACTTTTATCTACTTTTCGTTTTATGACGCAAATATTCTAACAAATCTTATTTATGGAGAAGCCTTTGTAATATTTTACAATTTGTTACTTATCAAATGCAGAAAAAATACATATTTCATTTGTGCTTAGTCATAAAAAGAATCCCCGTTAGGATATATTTTCCATTCAGTATACAGGGTGTTCAAAAAGTTCGTGTGCACTTTAAAAAATTTATAACTTTATTTGTGTTTGCGATAGAAATAATCTGTAAAAAATTTTATAAAGTTTAATGTACCTAGTTTTAAGTATAGATAAAATAACTAATGTGATTTCAGGCATTACTGTAAATCAGTTGGCAAATGTTTTCCGTGAACTGCAAAATCGTATTACCCTTTGTATTGCTAATGATGGAGGACATGTGAAAACTTAAATAAAGTTTCAATAAAATCCTAAAAATATAGATTTACGTCTTTCTAATCCTTTTTACAAATTATTTCTATCGCAAATACAAAAAAAGTTATATATGTTTTAAAGTGCACACGGACTTTATGGACACCCTGTATCTACCATATAAAACTTTCTTTGGATTTATCACTGAAATAGTAAAGCTTTGAAGTCTGTTTGCAAGCAAAAAAAAAAAAAAAAAACTGCGAAAATAAGGTATTTCTGTACTCATTTTCAGCCGACCTTTAAAACTAAATTCTCAACAATTAGTAAAAGCTATGAATTAAAGTTTTCATTTCAGTAGTCATCACATCAAATCACAGCTTTCGCACCGAGTGCAAACTTGATTTTCTTGAAAAAGTGAAAAATCTAATCCGACTATGAAGGACAGCGTCAATGCAATTAAGGAATATAAAACGTGTTAACAAAGAGTCTGAGAGATTTTGCTCCATCTCTTGATTTAGAACCTCTGTTACCTAACGAAATTTATTCGTAAACATTTACTAGAATTCGTTGATCGATTAATTGATTGATTGACCGATTCGTTTTATTTTTCGGCTTATCAACATTTTTTTTGATTATATACCATAGACTTAAATATCTCGAGAACTTTGTCGTTGCTTACACACGAATATCACAGACTAAATATGTAAGTAACAACGAGGTGCTCGAGATAATGCAAACAAAAAGGACGTATACTTAGAATAAGAAAGAGAGAGTTGACATTTCTCGGGTATATAATGAGGAAAGAGGGCTTGGAAAAACTGATACTCACAGAGCAGATTAAAGGCAAGACGGACAGAGGAAAACAATACATAAACTACCTGGTGAGCATACATAGCCGCGCAAGGTTTGGGAGAGATAGCAAAACCACAAAATGGATTGAGAGCTACAAGGTACTGGTAATTGGTGCGAGCCATGATCGTCAATGTCGTGAATGAAAACAGTAGATAAGAAGAAGAAAAATGTCGGCCTCTCTCTTCCTTGTTCACAGGGATATCTGAAAAATAGACATTTTTTTTTACTACTATAGAGAAAGACAAAGCCAGAGACACATACACAGACAGAGAGACAGAGCGAAGGGGAGAGTGAACGATTTGTTTTTTTACGGTTTATCAACACTTTTGGAGATATTAATCTGTTGCTTTCTTATTAACAGAGATCTGTGAAATCATTGATAGGTCAGTATCTGTCTTTCTGTCTCACTTTAAGCACAGGATTTACGGCCACATCCCGTTGAAAACACCAGGTCACCTCCGATCACCGAAGTTAAACAACGTTGAAATTGGTCAGTACTGAGATGGGTGACCACTTGTAAGCTTGGATGTGTGAGTGGTGTAATGGATCAGTTATATGCTATGCATGATACACATGTAGGCGATCATCTATCTTTCGATACATGACTGACGAGGCAGATTTTTTCCCGCAGTAGATTGCCATTTCAATCATTTGGGGGGGGGGTTCAAGAATATTACATTATCCGTTACACCAGCTTACAGTATCTGGCATTCCCAAGTGGTCACCCATCTAGCTACTGACCCTGTTCAACGTTGCTTAAATTCAGTGATTGTACAGGAACCAATGTTTCAACGTGATGTGGCCGTATGCCTACGACAATTCAGCTATGGTATCCGTACGTTCTACCTTGAGTAAATGGAAAACTTATTAAGGATGGAATTTATTTTCCGTCACTGTTTTAACAAGAAACAGAACAGACCTGTCAACAATTTGAGAAAACTATCTTAACAATAGTAAAAAGAAAAGCTGTGAAGGTTTTTTTCGTTTTTTTTTTTTGCAGACAATATGAACAGAACTAAAGCGAGACTTGTGAATGATTTCAGTGACATATATTAATAAAAAAAAAGCAAGACATGAACTCTAGGGCATTGTTTCAAAGACCATACTATTAAAAAAAAAAAAGAGACAAAGAAACATGTAAACAATTTGCAATGAAACGTATACAGATGGTAAATTGTGAATCTTTAAAAAGAGGAGGAAGCTGTGAAAAATTTTAATACGTATATTAAATTAAACGAGACAGTGTTGATCCTTTAAGCATTCACAAGAAGCTATATTAATAAAAACAATGACTTCTAAGAATTTTATTCAGAATAAATACAGAAGGAAATTACAACAGAATTTAAAAAAATTTCTGTGGTTAAAGATTCGTTGCTTGATTTAGTTACTAACAGCTGATCAACCCATTGCATGTTATTTAAAGACAGAACAATTTTAGATATCTTATAGAAAATAATAGTTTAGTGATACAAGTCTTACTAATTAATCCATAGCCAGGGGAGAAGATGTGGATTCATACCTTTTCCAACGGTATTCGCGAACGTAACCAACCCGACTCGAATTGGAACTGGGCTCTCCGCTAAGAAATCTCGATTATCCATTAATCGGAGGCACTGTGGAGTAATGATCAGCAGATTGGATTGTGCCGAGTTCGAATTTCAGTCAAATCCATTACTTTCACTTACGTGCTAATATCCTTTGGAAAGGCATTAATCCTCTTCTTTTCTCCCAGCTATGGGTAAATAGCAAGGACAGACCGGGTTCTATAGCCCTGGATTGCATCTGCTCTACAGAAAGAAATGGCAATCTATTGCGGGAAAAAATCTGCCTCGTCAGTCATGTATCGAAAAATAGATGATCGCCTACATGTGTATCATGCACAGCGCATAACTGATCCATTACACCACCCACACATCCAAGCTTACAAGTGGTCACCCATCTAGGTAGTGACCAATTTCGACGTTGTTTAACTTCGGTGATCGGAGGCGACCTGATGTTTTCAACGGGATGTGACCGTAAGTCCTGTGCTTAAAGAGAGACAGAAAGACAGATACTGACCTACCAATGATTTCAGAGATCTCTGTTAAGAAGAAAGCAAAATAGTAATGTCTCCAAAAGGGTTGATAAACCGTAAAAACAAATCAATCACTTCGCTCTGTCTCTCTGTTTGTGTCTGTCTATGTGTCGCTGGTTTTGTCTTTCTCTATGGTAGTAAAAAAATATCTATTTTTCAGATATCACTCTGAGCAAGGAAGAGAGAGGCCGACATTTTTATTCTTTTATGTACTTCACGACATTGACGATCATGGCTCGCACCAATTACCAGTACCTTGTAGCTCTCAATCCATTTTGTAGTTTTGCTATCTCTGCTAAACCCCGCGCGGCTATATATGCTCACCACATAGTTTATGTGGTGTTTTTCTCTGTCCCTCTGACCTTCAATCTATTCTGTGAATATCATTTTTCCAAGCCCACTTTCCTCATTATATGCCCGAGAAATTCCAACTCCCTCTTTCTGTTGCTAAGTATAAGTGTCCCTTTTGTTTCCATTATCTCGGGAACTTCGTCGTTGCATATATATATATATATAGTCTATGATATTCGCGTGTAAGCAGCGACGAAGTTCTCGAGATATTAATCTATCATATTCGGGAGAAATGGATTGCGGATCGGATTGAGGAATCGGAGACGCAAGTTCGACTTCCAGTCCAATCCATTACATTCATTTACTTGCTAATACTATGTATGCTCTTCTTCTTCTCCCCCCCACCTATGGATAAATAAGACGGGTTCTATTTCCATAGATGGCAACAGGTCTACCGCAGAAAGAATGACAACCTAGTGCGGGAAAAAAAAACTGCCTCGTCAGTCATATATCGAAAGATTACATGATCGCCTAAGCATGTATCACGCATGGCACATAAATGACTATTAGCTTTCATCGCTGAATCTGGAGAATCCTTGTCATGCTTGGTCCGTCACTGTATTGGATTATGGTCCGAAAAAACAAGCCAATCACTCAATTAAATATATGTTTTCGAATCTCATTTTACGAATATATTTTTAGTTTTTGAGAGCCGAGTTCGAATTCCACTCGAAACCATTACATTTACTTACGTGCTAATACTCATGGAAAAGGTATGAATTCTCTTCTTCTGCCCCCGAATTGCCTTGGATGGCAACTGGTCTACCGCAGAAAGAAATGGCAACCTACTGCAGGAAAAAAAATCTGCCTCGTCAGTCATGTATCGAAAGATACATGATCGCCTAAACGTGTATCACGCATGGCACATAACTGACTGACTGACACTTGGGAGAGATGTGCATTCTTTTCTCCTCCCCCAGCTATGGGTATATAGCTGGATAGACCGGGTTCTATAGCATTGGATGGTAACTGGTCTACCGCGAAAGAAATGGCAACCTACTGCGGCAAAAAAATCTGCCTTGTCACTCATCTATCGAATGATACATGATCGCTTAAGCGTGTATCACGCATGGCACATAACTGACTGACTGATCCTTGGGTAAGATATGCATCTTTTTCTCCTTTTTCAGCTATGGGTAACTAGCAGGATAGACCGGGTTCTATAGCCTTGGATGGCAACTGGCAACATTCTGCGGGAAAAAAAAAATCTGCCTTGTCAGCCATGTATCGAAAGATACATGATCGCTTAAGCGTGTATCACGCATGACACATAACTGACTGACTGACCCTTGGGAGAGATATGTATCCTTTTCTCCTCCCCTAGCTGTGGGTATATAGCTGGATAGACCGGGTTCTATAGCATTGGATGGTAACTGGTCTACCGCGAAAGAAATGGCAACCTACTGCGGGAAAAAATCTGCCTTGTCACTCATGTATCGAATGATACATGATCGCTTAAGCGTGTATCACGCATGGCACATAACTGACTGACTGATCCTTGGGTAAGATATGCATCTTTTTCTCCTTTTTCAGCTATGGGTAACTAGCAGGATAGACCGGGTTCTATAGCCTTGGATGGCAACTGGCAACATTCTGCGGGAAAAAAAAAATCTGCCTTGTCAGCCATGTATCGAAAGATACATGATCGCTTAAGCGTGTATCACGCATGGCACATAACTGACTGACTATGGTATTTTTAGCATCATTCTATAGAGCCATATTTCTGTTTCAAGTCCATTCAGTGACATATAGGAAGAGTCATATTGCATAACAGTTCACAACTCTTTTCTTTGTTTCTAACAATGTTTTTTTTTTATGCTTCTTAAGACTTAACTTTTGGAAGGCAACTTTCGCTAAAAGAAAGCGCCTTTGGATTTCAGTTTCACACTATCCGTCATCTGTTAAAATGCTTCCCTGATATTTAAACGAATGTTGCTGTTTGATTTCGATGTCTCCAGTGTGTAATTTAAATTTTTGGGCTGTCCATTTTGCTAGCAACTATAAATAAGGATAGAGCAGTAAATATCCACCATTCTATTGGATGATGGTCCGACAAACAAGCCAAACACTCAATCAAATATATGTCTTTGAATCTCATTTTATGAAGATATATATTAGTTTTTGGGAGCCGAGTTCGAATTCCTCTTCTCCTGCCCCCAGCTATGGGTAAATAGAATAGACCGGGTTCTATAAGCGGTGGTTCTATAGGATGACTGACGAGACAGATTTTTCTCGTAGTAGATTGCAATATCTTTTTGAGGTAGACTAGTTGCCATTCAAGGCTACAGAACCCGATTTCTCCTCCTATTTAACCATAGCTTGGCGGAGAATATGGGCATATTTGAAGAAAAATGTAAAATAAAGAAGTTCTTTGAATTTGGAGGAACGAGAGGAAGAAAGGATCAAAATACTCATCAGTGTGTGTAGTTCCATGCGTGATACACGCTTACACGATCATATATCTTTCGATACATAACTGACGAGGCAGACTTTTTTTCCGCAGTAGGTTGCCATATCTTTTTGCGGTAGACCAGTTGCCATCCAAGACTATAGAACCCGGTTTCCCCTGCTATTGACCCATAGTTGAGGGGGGTGAGAAGGGGAGGATTCATACCTTTCCCAAGGGTATATGCACGTAAGTAAATGTAATGGATTCGACTGGAATTCGAATTCGGCTCTCAAATGCGGATACATATGTTTTATCCATGATTTCGGCGAATATTTTAAGAGATAATTATTGAAATTTTTTGATATCTACATTAACTCGATTCTAGCCTCTCTCCCCTCTAGTTAAGAGAAAGTGAGAAGGAGCGATATTAAAAAGATTGCGAGAGAGAGAGAGTGAGAGAGTGAGAGAGAGAGAAAGGAAAAGAAAATGAGAGAAATTGTGATCCTTTTAGAGACTTGTATAAACTAAAAATCTAACGACGATTGAGAAGACAGAGAGAGAGAGAGAGAGAGAGAGAGAGAGAGAGAGAGAAAAAAGACAGTGAGAGAGAGAGAGAACGAGAAAGTTGCAAAATTTTTCAACGCCCCGTATCAAAAAAAAAAAAAACAGACCAAAATCATATATATATATATTCGAACAAAAAAAATATTCGCGAAAATAAAGAATGGTTAATATTAATAAGTGGATATATATATATATATATATATATATATATATATATATATATATATATATATATATATATATATATATATATATATATGGATAGCGGCTCGGATTAAGAAATCGGAGGGCAGAGTTCGAATTCCAGTCAAATCCAATACATTCACTTACGTGCTAATACCCGTTGGGAAAGATATGGATCTTCTTCTCCCCCCCCTATGGGCAAATAGCAGAACAGACCGAGTTTTATAGCCTTGAATAGCAACTGGTCTACTGTAGATGGAAATGGCAACCTTGTCAGTCATATATCGAAAGACACATGATCGCCTAATCGTGTATCACGCATGACACATAAATGACTGATATAACCCCCACCAAAAAAAAAAAAAAAAAAAGAATAAATAAATAAGTGACAGAAAAAAAAGCCAAAATCATTGTAATCCTTTTCTAAAGAAAATCACAAAGCGAGTGAGCATAAAAAGAGATTTGGTTTTACAGTCTAACCCGGATATAAGAGACCCGGATATAAGAGAAACCCGGATATAAGAGAAACCCGGATATAAGAGACTTCTTCTCCGGTCCCGACAACTCTCTTACATCCGGGTTACACTGTATAACTTATCAAGCCTTTTTCGGTTATTTAGATCCAAAAACTATTTTGCATTTTAAGAATAAGTTTTTGGTGAGTGAATATTGCATTAACAATTTTTGATAATTACAATGATTTTTTTTCAAGATGCAAGTTCTATTATTTAACCCATAGCTGAAGGGAGTAGATGGATTCATAACTGTTCCAAGTGTATTTAGACGTAAGCGGATGTAATGAACCCAACTGGAATTCGAACTTGTCTCTCCAATTTTTCATCTCGAGACGCTATTGATTGAACCATCCGCACATCTTGAGAGAAAGAGAGACAGATACAGAGAGAGAGAGAGAGAGAGGAGAGGGAGAGGGAGAGAGAGGGAGAGAGAGACCTGTGAATATTTTCGGATACATATGTTTTATTCATGAGACGAAAGCAGTATTGAATATGTGTATTTTATTTCGAAGAATGAATTGTTGTTTTCAACGCGATGTGATCTTGTGTTTAGGAAACCTAAATTCTACGAAGATATCTTGTAAAATTATACAATTACAAGTAAACCTAACCACATCCTATCTCCGTCCAAAATCTACGACGTGTAAATCAAGCTGAAGCAACTCTTTTTTTTTTCCCCCGGAGCAGATAACAGAGAACAAATTAGATGGAGAGGAATGATTTTTTTTTAATTTTTGGACATGGAACGTATTAGGAAAACAAACACAAAGCTAAAAAAAAAAAAAAAAAAACAACAAAAAAAAAACGACAAAAAACAAACAATTGGGAAAACTGTTCAAAACAAAAGAGCAATCAATTGTTTACGGAAATAATGCGAGCAGTAAGATTTCTAATAGCAAAAGAAAGACAAAACAAAGGAATGAAGGCGAAAGAAAGAAAGAAAGAAAGAAAAGGAAGGAAGGAAAGAAGGAAGGAAAGAAGGAAGGATAGAAGAGGGAAGGGAGGAAGAAAGGAAAGAAGGGAAGAAGTGAGAAAAAAGGAAGGACGGAAGGAAAGAAAGAAAGAATGAAGGAAGGAAGGAAAGAAAGAAGGAGGGAGGGAAAGAAGGAAGTACGGAAAACGAAATGAAGGAAAGAAAAAAGGAAGGAAGGAAGGAAGGAAGGAAAGAAGAGAGGAAGGAAGTAAGGAAGGAAGGAAGGAAGGAAGGGAGGAAGAAAAGAAGGAAGGAAGGAAGGAAGGAACATAGAAACAAGGAAGGAAGGTAAGGATGGAAGGAAAGAAGGAAGGAAGGAAAAGAATGAAATAAAGTTGAATAGATAAAAGAAGCAAACAAACAAAAAAGGAATGAGACGAAAGAAAGAATGAAACAACCAAAAGAAGGAAAAAAAAGAAAGAAAGGAAGGAAGAAGTAAACAAAAAAACACAAACTAACAAGGAAAGGCTGAAATGGAAGAAATAGAAATAGAGAAAAGAAAGAAAGAAAGACAAAGGAAAAGAAGAAGGAAAAAATGAAATAAAATAGAATAGATAAAAGAAACAAACAAAAAAGGAAAAAGAAGAAAGAAAAAATGAAACTAACAACCAAAAAAAAGAAAAAAAACAAAGAAAGAAAGAAACAAACAGAAAACACAAAGGAAGGAAGGAAGGAAAGATAGAAGGAAGTAAGGAAGGAAGGAAGGGAGGAAGGAAGGAAGGAAAGAAAGGAACAAAGAAGGAAGGAAAGAACGAAGGAAGGAAGGAAAGGAAGGAAAGAAGGAAGGATAGAAGGGGGAAGGGAGGAAGAAAGGAAAGAAGAGATGAAGTGAGAAAAAAGGAAGGAAGGAAGAAAAGAAGGAAGGAAGGGAAAAATGAAGAGAAGGAAAGAAGTGGGAAGTGAGGAAAGAAGGGAGGAAGGGGGAAAAGAAGGAAAGGAAGGAAGGATAGAAGGGGAAGGGAGAAAGAAAGAAAAGAAGGGAGGAAGTGAGAAAAGAAGGAAGGAAGGAAGGAAGGAAGGGGGAAGGGATGAAGGAAGGAAGGAAAGAAGGGAGGAAGTGAGAAAAGAAGGAAAGGAGGAACGAAGGAATGGAGGAAGGAAGGAAGGAACGAAGGAAGGAAGGAAGGAAGAAATGAAGGAAGGAAGGAAAGAAAGAAATGAAGGAAGGAAGGAAAGAAAGAAACAAGGAAGGAAGGAAAGAACGAAGGAAGGAAGGAAGGAAGGAAAAGAAGGAAGGATAGAAAGGGGAAGGGAGGAAGAAAGGAAAGAAGGGAGGAAGTGAGAAAAAAAGGGAGGAAGTGAGAAAAGAAGGAAAGGAGGAAAGAATGGAGGAAGGAAGGAAGGAAGGAAGGAAGGAAGGAAAGAAGGGAGGAAGTGAGAAAAGAAGGAAGGAATGAAGGAAGGAAGGAAGGAAGGAAGGAAGGGAGGAAATGAGAAAAGAAGGAAGGAAAGAAGGAAGGAAGGACGGAAGTAATCAAGGAAGGAAGGAAAAAAGAAACAAGGAAGGAAGGAAAGAACGAAGGAAGGAAGGAAGGAAGGAAGGATAGAAGAGGGAAGGGAGGAAGAAAGGAAAGAATGGAGGAAGTGAGAAAAAAGGAAGGAAAGAATGAAGGAAGGAAGGAAAGAAAGAAGGAGGGAGGGAAAGAAGGAAGTACGGAAAACGAAATGAAGGAAATAAAAAAGGAAGGAAGGAAGGAAGGAAAGAAGGGAGGAAGGAAGGAAGGAAGGAAGGAAAGAAGGAAGGAAGGAAGGAAGGAAGATAGAAACAAGGAAGGAAGCTAAAGAAGGAAGGAAGGAAGCAAGGGAGGAAGGAAGGAAGGAAAGAAGGAATGAATGAAAGAAACAAGGAAGGAAAGAAGGGAGGAAGTGAGAAAAAAGGAAGGAAGTAAAGAATGAAGGAAAGAAGGAAAGAAAGAAGGAGGGAAGGAAAGAAGGAAGAACGGAAAACGAAATGAAGCAAGTAAACTAGGAAGGAAGGAGGGAAGGATGGAAACAAGGAAGGAAGGAAGGAAGGAAGGAAGGAAGGAAGATAGAAACAAGGAAGGTAAGGAAGGAAGTAAGGAAGGAAGGAAGGAAGGAAGGAAAGAAGGAAGTAAGGAAAGAAGGAAGGAAGGAAGGAAAGAAACAAGGAAGGAAGGAAAGAAGGGAGGAAGGAAGGAAGGAACGAAGGAAGGAAACAAGGAAGGAAGGAAGGAAGGAAGGAAGGAAGGAAGGAAGGAAGATAGAAACCAAGAAGAACGGAAGGAAGGAAGGAAAGAAGGAATGAAGGAAGGAATGAAGGAAGGAAGGAAGGAAAAATAAAAATATACAAAAGAAACTAACAAGCAAAGGAAGGAGAAAGAAAGAAACCAAACAAAAAAAAGAAGGAAGGAAAAAATAAAATAAAGTTAAATAAACAAAAAAGAAAGAAAAGAAACACAAGGAAAAAGATAAGAGAAAGATTTTATAAAAAAAACAAAAGGAAAAAGAAGAAGGTAAGGAAGGACGTAAAGGACGAAGAAAGAAAAGAAAAGAAAGAAAATAGACAAAAGAACGAATCAAACAAAGGAAGGAGAAACCAACGACAGAAGGAGAAAAAAAAAGGAAATAGGTAAGAAAAAAGAAAGAAAGAAAATACAGAAAGAGAAAAGGAAAAAGAAAGAAAGAAAGAAATAAACGAAGGAAGAGAATAAGAAAGAAAGATAGAAATAAGAAAGAAAGAAATTAAGTATAAAATACAGAAAACGTTGAATATACGCATTCTAAAAACTAATTTTATAATCCGTTACAGAGAAAAGATTGTAAATCTCCCCCCCCACCTCTTGATGATATTTCACAATTGCAACAATAACAACAACAACAACAACAATAATAATAATAAAAATTTTGAAATAAACTTGCGCGTTCAGCATAAATGGATGGCGAGGGCGAGAGGATGGGGGAAAGAGCGTAGGAATAATCAAGTTATTTGAGGCAGAAATTATAGAATATAATTTAAAAGGAAATCGAAATAAGAACGACAATAACAAAATATTTTAAAACATTTGTGGCTTGCGTAGACCAGTTTGATTTAATTCTCAAAACAAAAGCAAAATTTCACACACACACACACACACACACACACACACACACACACACAAAAAAAAAAAAAAAATCAGAAAGAAGAAAGTGTAAAACGCTGTGTCAAATTACAGACGATAAATAACATTTTACATTCGTCGTAATTGGACTGTATTTGAAATATTCAGAAAGCGCGTCATATGCACGAGAAAGACTTTCTCGAAATGATGTACACAGAAGAATTCGCATAGGTCAATAAGTTGACTTCGCGGTATTCAGTTCACTTTACTTATAATGTCTTACACGAGGTGTAGCTATGCAAACGGTAATTCTCTTCATTTCGTTGAGAGAGTCACGAGGGTCACGTGACGGCCGGGGAAGGACGGCAGGAGTTAGAGTGACGCTGTTCAGTTGGGATGTAGAGCCCCGAGAGGAAGAACGTCCCTAGCCCATACCGGTAGACTTATAAAAAAAAAAAAAAAAAAAAAAAAAAAAAAAAAAAAAAAAAAAAAAAAAAAATTACTAAACAAGGTTCATAGAGAAATCACCGTGACTACAGTTTTCCCTTCGGGAAATATTACAAGTAAGGTTCCCTTTTTTTTTACACACTGTTTGTTGTTGCATATATGTTATAATTTCTCTGCGTCTATCTATATATCTATCTATCTATCTATCTATCTATCTATCTATCTATCTGTATGTACGTATTATGCCCTGTATATATATATATATATATATATATATATATATATATATATACAGTGCATAATACATACATACATATAGAAAAAAAAACAAATAAAAAAATATATTACAAGTAAGGTTCCTTTTTTTTTACACACTGTTGTTGCATATATGCTATAATTTCTCTACGTCTGTCTATCTATCTATCTATCTATCTATCTATCTATCTATCTATATGTATGTACGTATTATGCACTGTATATATATATATATATATATATATATATATATATATAGGTAAGATGTGAAGGAACAGAGTACTTTTCCAACGTTCGTAACATTTAATTTAAAATTGGGCTCAATACAAAGTAGAACAATATTATTTATTTTAGGATATTACATCGAAAAACATGTCAAAATCGCTATACAATTGCAGTCGTGTTTCGATGCGTATCAAATGCATCTCATCAGGCGATTGCAAATTCCTGGCGAGTGAAAAATTTATTTAGATTTTAAAGCAAAATAAAAAGGGGGTTATTGGTTTGTGGTCTTTGCTCAGATCAACCAATCAAATATGACCTACGTTAAATTTAAACTAAGCGAAGAACCAAAAATTAAGAAATTATTTTCCATAAATGGCTCATGACCCGTCGATTTAGCAGTCAATGGCAGCACAGACATTAAACAGGAGCGGATGTTAATGGATACATATTGTCCATGCTAAAAAAATTATTTCCTTATAAAAAATGAAGTGGAGTGGTAATTTAAGAAAATGCTAAACAAGTTATATACTTTGTGAGTTTACAACAAAAAATTATAGTTGATAAATAAATAGCTTCTTTAAGAAACCAGCAAATAATTTAAACGTATAGAATTACTTGGTAAATTAATATGCAACTGTTGGCTCAAGATTCTTTATATAAGATGTTAATAACCAACTAATGCAAAATGTTAAAAATACCAATACATCAGTACAAGATGTTAGCAATACTACAACGGGATTAATACGAAATTATATTAAATCCAAATTAATCTTATTTATAGAAGATAAACCATATGTGGTGCAACCCAGTTCAGCTAAAATTTAAGAAAAAGCATTGTCAAATTCCGAGTCTAGCTGAATTGTAAGGTAAAAGATAGACTGTGTTTACAATTTACCTATAACTCGGATTCTTGGTTAAATAAAACATTCTTATCAAAGAAGCTAATAACTGACCGGCTGCCTTCTCAAGAGATGAACATTGTAGAACGTTGTAGAAAAAGAAACAATGGTAATTATCTGGTTATAATAAAAGAATGCATTTTGTCATTTTCAAAGTTATATATAAAATCTGTGTTACAAAATGTTTGTTTAAATCTATAGACCGGATGTAACAGCAAAATTGTCCCAATCGTGTTACTGCATAATTAGCAATCCGACAAAATGTTTAATATCGATAAAAACACTAAACTTATTGAGTTTTTTCCCCCCAGTTTTTAAGATAATACGCTTAGCCATCCTGACACCATTTGTCGTAAGATTAACTGAAAACCCTTTCAGTTATTCAGCTAGAAAGAGAACAGGTTAAAAATCGTTTTGCATCAGCCCTACTGTCTTATCAATGATGGGAGGAAAAACATAATTCAGGCCTTCAGTAATTGTACCAAATATTCATACACTGGTTTCCGTCTTCAAAGTCCATTCAAGAGCCATCAAGAGAATGGTGAATAAGTTTTTAAAAAAAAAGAAAACAGTAGAGAGAAAAAATGGATCAGGATGTCACAACAGGAAGAGGGGGTTAGACATTTTCATGACGGTCGTCTTCGAGTATAGAATCCAGAGGTTGGCAGTGAATATTTCGGAGACAGTAAGAAAGCGTAGTGCAGGTTCGCAGTGGATATCATAGCAAAGTAGCAGAGCGTAGTTCTTCCGTCTGTCATGTTCACCGGACAAGTTTCCTCTGGTCCTTCCGGTTTAGAAAACAAAGATGGCCGCCTTTATACACGACGAATACAGTGTTGTGCGGCTTCTGATTGGTCAATCTTCTATTGGTCGACTATAAAGGGAAATAAGTCATTTTGACTCGCTCACTAGTTATATATGCTATATACCCAAAAAACCGTAACAGAGGGATCATCATTTCATCTTAGGTCCAAAGAGATCAGTTAGAAAAGATGCAACTCAACGCATAAGACGTCTGGAATATCAGATATGAGTTTCAGCTATGACAATCCAAAGAGCAGTGAAAAAGACTTGAAAATGAAATCGTACGGGAAACCCGTGAGGCAAATTGTTACCCCAGGACAGAAAGTTAGAAGGTTATAGAGGGCTAAGATCATTGTGAATAATGCAGAAAATGCTCATGGAATGATGTATATACAATTGAAGATTATCTCAATAATTCATGAGCTTCCGATCCTTAGCTATGATTAAATAATGAAGAACATGTCATTTTAGTGTATGATCGATTTCATTACGATTCTTCTGTTGATCCTAGAGAGCAATTATATATTTTTATTGCTCAAAATAGAGTCCAAGAAGGTTATAAAAACTTCGGAGAATTCCAGTAAGATATGTTTAATCATTTCTAAGATACAACTGTTCAGTCCTTATATTAATATATATATACAATTTTGCTGTTATATATATTTGTCCAATTTATATTATATAATATATATATATATATATATATATAGGCCGGTAAATGTTATTTAATACTGTTTATTATAAACAGAGCATTTACTTAAATACTTGTATTCCGTATAAAAGAATGTTAAACATAAAAAGTACGAATATTTTCTATAAATTGTCGGACTTTGTCCAAATCTTAATTAATGACGTTATATAAACATATATTTATTTAATACTTGTATCTAGAACTTGTTAAACATAAAAGTAGGATTTAATAAATTGTCGGAGAGCCAATTCTTAATGTATGACGTTATATATATATATATATTTAAAACATGAAGAACTTGGTAAATCCAAGTAGGATGAAACCTAAGATTTCAATGAAGAACAGAGCTAAGGGATTTAATGAAAAAACAGACCACTTTAACAACCATTAAAAGGAAAAATGGGATTAGTAGTGTAATTTTTGTTACAAAAATTACACTACCCATCAATTTCTAATCCCATTTTCCTTTCATTTCGTTGTTGAATTGTTACCTGATGATCCGGAGTCCTTTAAAAAGGATTTTGTGAAATAAATTATTGTAATGTTACCTTAAAGTGGTCTGTTTTTCATTAAATATATATATATATATATATATATATATATAGAGAGAGAGAGAGAGAGAGGTAACAGCAATATATATATATATATATATATATATATATATATATATATATATATACAATCATGTAAGGGATAAAGCCACTAAGACGCAAGAGATAAATGAGAGTGAAAGAAACGGTTACGAGGAGAAATAAAATAAAAGGACCTGACTGAAGGAGACAGAAGATAGCAGTTGGCTATGCATTTAGATTTTTGTAAGTTTTACTTGAAAGGAAAGAAGAAAGTTGTATAAGACTTTCTCAGGTGGGAAGTACGAGAAAGAAAACAGCTGTTAGCATCAAGCAATTTCAGCAGTAAAATGGCGAAACTTTTGGTC